ACGTCCCCCGCACATATGGTTTTTTGCTTGGGAGAAAGGAATTTTAGGGTGCAGTAAATTCTCTGATAAGAGTTTTCGAGAATGAATTCCAAGCCGACGGCAAGGGGTGAAAATTTTCTGAACCAAGTTAACACAAAAATGACTTTGGGAAATTAAAAAAATGAAACTACTAATTACACAACATTATAATTCATAATAAAAAATGTCAGCACTATATAAATTGTTTCTTCAGCAGCATATTAAAGTATGCACACTTATTATCCAGATTGAATTACAATTACAATAGATTCTTCCTATCGCCAGTCAGAAAATATATGTATTCGATTAACTTTAAAAGAAAGAGGGATAAAAATTAAGTTACTTAAGGTTAAGAAAAAAAATTTTTTTTAGCACACCAAAAGTGCAGCAACAAGGCTTTAAAATAATTAAAGTTAAAAGTTAAACAACCTTAAAGGTCAAAACAACAAGATACAAAAACCAAAAATCTTAAGTCCCCTAAACTCAAATTAAAATTAAACAACTGCAACTCAAAAAACTTTTAAAGCAACCTAACCTAAATTTAAAGTTTACAAAAGTTACAATTTAAACTTACAACCAACTTTAAACAACAAAAAAAGAAAAATAATAAGCAAAACATAAGCTTGAAATTAAAAACGATTAATACATAACATCTGGTGGAGGTTTGGTTTCTCTATTTGTTATTGTTTTCCCATAGTGCCAGAAACATACATACATACACACACACAACACACACACATATATATATATATATATGTGTGTGTGTGTGTGTGAGTGTGTGTATAATATGAGATATACAAAGTAATAACATTTGCTGACACATTTCGAGATTAATAGTACTTTTGTGCTAATAATTAAGAATACAGAAATTAAAGTGATTATATTAATTTCATAAACTGGTTTTCCAATTATGTAAAACAAAAGCATGAGTAGGCCTTAAAAGTGCAGTTTTATGAGTCCTTCAGTCTACATTACGAATGTTGCACAGCAAAGCCAAAAATAGCTTCCTCCCCCCAAAAAAAATAAAATGCAGATCTTCACCATACTTCTGTGAGAATAAGTGTCTGCAGCATTGTACTCTGCATATTGTATAGAATCTTTCACTTCCAAATTTCCAGGCACAATTCATGATTGTTTGAGTATTAGTAGCATCTCTAGTTTTGTTGAAGTTCTTTTCGTCATTTACTGTTTGATGATTGTGTCCTTATCAACCCAACGTCTTGTAAGCCATTCATCACTCATATTAACTGAGCCATGTAGTAATAATACCTTCATAAAATAAAAAATTTGATAGTTGTCATATGCAAATGTGCAATAAAGTAGTGGAAAGAAGTCATAATCTTTTTTAATGGCATTATCTAATATATAGATAAACTAAAAGTGGTAGATTGCATGCTGCATAATTACCAAAATTGCTTTATTGCATGTTGAAAATATCTGCAAAGAAAATTTTAAATGTGCAACATGGCAAATGAAAATGTGTCTAAAGCAGAGATTTATAAATTCATAAATTAGAAAACATTGATTAGAAAACTAATTATTGATTAAACTAATTATTAAACTAAGATTGAATTAGAAAACTTGAAACCGAACTTTTTTACATATTGCAAGTAAATTTGTTTAGTGTTACTTTATTTATCATGAATTTATTTTGTTTTATGAACATTTATTTCACTCATTGTCACTCAGATCAAAAGTTTGTCATCAATTTTTAACCTACTTCCTAATAAGCTGTAGAGTTCATATTCTGTGTAAACTGTGTTTATGGATGTCAATGCAGTGTTGTCAAGCAACATTTTAAAATTTAGATTTTTATTTTTTTTAATTAAATGTTTCATTGTTTTCATGATTTTTTGCATGTCTTCATTTAACGAACAAACTGAAAATCTCAAAAGTTTACAATTTGCACCATCAGGTAGAACTGGAAAAAGTCTTTTAAATGAATCAAACTGTTAATGTCATATTTGAAATGCTAAAGTTTTTCCCAACAGTTTGGCACCATGGTTTAAAATTTTAACATCTAAAAGTAAAAATTATATATATAAATGATAGAATTATAGTTTATTTAATATATAATAAAATAATAATTTTTTGGATAATATAATATATATAAGATGTTCAAATTTAAATCATGATGCCAAATATTTGGAAAAAAATTAAGCATTTTTTTAAAAATCAAATAGACATTAAAATTTGATTCATTTAAAAGACTTTTTTCTGATTACCTGATGGTGCAAACTATAAGATAATATAATATATATATTTTAGTTGATTATCAAATTTTGAGCTTTTCATGAATTATAAAATGAACTGTTCACCTTCTTTTAAAAGAAGAATAAGAAAAAGTATTGATTTGGCAATTTTCTTCTTTTAAAAAAAAAAAGTGACAATTTTATATAGAATCACTTATTCTTTTGCAGTGCTGGAAAACGAATTTGTAAGGTCATACAGTCAAAAGTCGTTAATTCAGACACCCATAATCCGGAATGATCTATAATCTGGACCTCAAAGCTACAAACTTTCTGCGCATGCGTCGCGTTGACGCGTAAGTCCTTTACGGCTGCAAATATGCATATGCGCGTGCGCAAAATACGTTTACGAATGCGCGTTTAATGTATAACGGACGGTATAAGCTAAGCTAAAATGATCTAATTCGGTTAATGTTGCAGATTGCGTTGTTCCTTAATCTTCGAATTGGATTCGGCTTATTATTTTTTGCAGACTGTTAGCTCAATTTTATAAAAGTAAGCTTGAACTTTTGATTATGTCAAATAGAATTTCTGATATATATTTACTAATATGTAAAGGATCTACAAAACGAACGTATGTTTCGAAGTCCATTAAACAAAAAGTAGAATTGCTGCAAAAAAATGGATAAAGGCATATCCTTTGTTTATCTAAACTTTAATGTTTGTTTATCTTTAACGCCGCGAAGCACAATGAATTGGAAGTTGATCTGTCTGCACTATCCTTATCTTCAGGGGCAGATGTTTTTATTTATTTGGCTTATAGTTCCTTACTAAATGTAGTATTTCATCTCGATGTACTCCGTCTTTGATATGATTTAAATCAAATTCCTCGTCATTATAATTCGCTTCCGATAGCGAAGAAAGTGACAGAGGTTATTAAAGACGAAAAAATTTCGATTGGCAAATTAGTCGGTATTCTCGACACAGCAATTGACTTGAACAGCGGAACTTTGTAACTGAACAAGAAATTATGTCTGTTTATAGAATTAAAGAGAATGTATTATCACATAAAAAACGAAGCAACTTAAACAACTTACATTGAAAGAAATGTTTAATAAAGTAAACAAATAAATATTAAGCTTTTTTTTTTTTTTTTTTTTTTTTTTTTTTTTTTTTTTTTTTTTGTAAATTTTGATACCCTTTAGATCATAATTGTTCTTTATTTCATAAATTACGGTTTCATATTTTTAATTTTATAATTTCTGCATGCCATCTTACCAGATTTAAACTGATGACCTATAATCTGGAAAAATCGATAATCCGGAATCGCGAAAGTCCCGACGAGTCCGGATTAACGACTTTTGACTGTACCAAGTTTATTCAAGTTATTGACTGTACCAAGTTTATTCATAATGAAATCTACGTTCACTTAAATTTTTCTACATTTCATAAGTTTATATACATTTTTCTCAGTGTTTCATTTTCAAAGTTAATTTTCTTTATTTAATTCGAGTATGCTATATTGTATTCTTTTATGGAGCTTTAAAATTCTAACATCTAAAAATTTTTCCATTATAAAGATTTAAAATTTTCAAAAATTATGAAAGAAGCGCTTCTAAAAAGCATGAAAATTATTGAATTAAAGAATGGCAATTAATAGTAATGTTTTAAATTGATCTTAAATTAGTGAAAAATATTACTACTGTTGATGAATAGCAGTACAGTGTGGTAAACCAGTTTTTCCAAATTTAATTCAATTTTTTTTTAGTTATTAAATGTTGAAATAATTTTTCATATGTATCTTCTTTCACTGTTTGCTCCATCAGGTAGAGCAGAAAAAAAAATGTTTTAAATGAAGTTCAGAAGAGATTTTTAGCATAATTTCAGATTTTTTTTTGGGGGGGGGGGTAATTACACAATGTTTTCTTTCTCTCTCTCTCTCTTTTTTTTTTTTTTTTTTTTTTTTTTTTTACACAAACAGTTGTTGGAACTAAAAGGTTGATTATTCATTATTGTAAAATGATTTTTCAGTTTAATTTTAGCCATCTTTTTAGAATTTTTTAAGCAAGCCTCTTTTTTTTTTTTTTTTTTTTTTTTTTTTTTTGTTGTTGTTGTTGTTGTTGTTGTTATGTCACTTGTTGTTAGGGTCAAAACTTGTGCTATCTATTTTTAAACTATTTCCTAATAAGCTGCTCAACTTATTTTGTATAGCAGTCATTGTAGATGATGTTACAATGTGGTGCAGCTATTTATTTTTTAAAATTTGATTAAAACTTTTTTAAACTAATACTGAAGGGATTTTTTACGTATATTTTTGTTTAACAAAATAAAACTGTCAGAATTTTCCTATTTTGCAACATTGTGATAGAGCAAGGGAAAATATCTTTTAAATGAAGTATGTATATTGGAAACTTTCTTTTTTTTTTTTTTTTTCCCAGTTTTTTGGAAATTGCTGTTTTTTCTGGTTGGTTGTAATTTAGATGAAAATAAAACAAGGTTAAAGAAAGTTTTATTATAACCCATGCTTTTCTTATTCATAGCATATAATTGTAAATGAATTTTGTAATGAGAATTATTTAATTTCTTGTTTGCATTAAACTATACAATAAATAGCTTTTCTTTTTTCAGTTCAATAATTATTGTATAAATTTTAGATAAAAGCTTAATTTATAAAATTGTTCTTACCTTAGTTTTTAAAAAATTATATCAAAACTTAGTTTAGTACTTTAAAAGTTCATATATTTGCTTTTTGTTTTCCCAGATTCATATTAATTAAATTAATTCTATTTCCAGGACCATCTCGTGGAGATTGCTTTTGGAAGAACCAGAAGTATAAGACATTCATTGTTTTTTAGTGATGATCCTAGACGAAAGAGTCGGTTAAAAGCACTGTCATGGTTTGGACCTCTTTATAATCCTGACGTGGTATGTGTGTTGAGTATTTATACAGTAGACCTCTAAATTTTTTGGCCAACTGGGACCACAACATGTTCAGATGTATATGCTCCCATGATTTAAATGTTCTTTATGATTAGCATTTACCTCGAGGGGGGGGATATATCCAGATTTTCTGATTATCTTATCGAAATAGTCGGAAAATTTTGGTTTATATATATATACTTTCTCATGAGTAAGCATTCATATTTAAGTAAAAATGGGGGAAATTTGTTTTATTTTGAACTACAATTATACAGTTAAATTACTGTAAATTAATTTTATTTCTGTGAAACAAAATATAAAAACAACATGATGACATTAAATAATTTTTATTTGCCTGTTTCAAGTAAAATAAAACTGCAAAGCTAATTTTTTACAAATAATAATAATAATAATAATAATAATAATAATTTATCTAATATTTCTAAAATAAAATGCTTAATGCAAAACTCTCCCTCTCTCCAATAAATGCTTAGTATCCAGATTTTAGATAGTTTCTGTTAAGTTAAATCAAAAATAAAAAGAATCTGGATGATCATGTTTGTGTAATCTGTTTTCAGATAAGAAGCATTTTTAATTACTTCTAGCTTATGAAGTAAACAAAGATGGTAGGTCTATGCATTGTACATAACTGCTTTTCTGTTAAGGTTTATGAGTTATATGTGCTGAATAGTATGTAATGATGTGTTACCGAATTACACGCAGAGCCGTCTCCATATGTAGGCGATTTGTGTAGCTGTCTAGAACAATGATTTTTAGAGTCTATCTGATTTTAGAATGAATATGCTGTTTTCACAAGCAGCAATTAAATCAAGGTACATTTCACTTTGAATTACCGTATTTGATGGCATATAAGACACACTTTTTTTCCTAAATTTGGTTTCAAAAAAGTTACCTGTGTCTTATACGTGAAGGACACAGGTTAACTTTCAATACTGAATGCAATTTTTAGCCCGGATAAAGGTCTAGGCACACATAACTTTTTCTACATCTGCCATAATTATATTGCGCATGCGTGAAATATCTGTCACCAAAAAGCGCCAAAGCTTGAAACTGATGTCGAAGTTCGAACAGGTTCGACAGTCACATTACGTCTATGGAGGTGAGTCAGTTACAAATGGCAGCAATTGCTTGATGCGAAACATACGTTAATAATTTACTTGAGGATGGGTTAAATATTAGCACGGCAACAAAACAGATTAATTTTCAACTTAATCATTTTCAGCTAATTTGTGCAATTTTCAAGCTGTTTCACTCCTTCTTTTCCATCAAAAAGAAACATCATTCCATGAGTGTGAGATATGCAAGCACACAGCCCTGCATACTCATGCGAGCCGAAATCAGCAAAAAGGTGGGAAAAATCCGTTTGACGGTTGTTTATATGCATGTGCAGTTCTGCGATTGTGATTAATGTTACGATAATGTCCATGCTAATAAACTGCATGGTGTGAGAAATTTTCATTCTCACATGTGTGTATGTACGTAAACACTTGCATTGTTGTGGTGTATAATTTTCTTCACTCTTAAATAAAATAAATCAACTGAATGTGGTGAATAGCCTGCCTTTTAATTACCTTAACAAGAACACCAATAACTAAATCAACATAACCTAGAAAAAGTTAAACCATTGCATTGTGGAATCTAAATGTGCTACAATCCTGGTTAAAAAAGCGTATGTAGTAAGTATTATAATTGTCACACCAAAATAATAGGTATGCTGATTTATTAAATATATAATTCATTGCAATTAGTCAAGGATATCCTCTGGAGTACTAGAAGTTTCAAACCAATTTAATTTTTAAATTAACAATAATAATCTCTTGATGATAAACTGAGAAACAATATTTCTTAACACTAAATATTTGCAACTCAGTAAATGAATAAAATTATTGGTAGTTGACCGAGAAATAGGGGTCGGCACTGGTTGCAAATGTCCCCATCTCTAAGGAAAATTTAAGTAATGTTACCTCCTGGTCTGTAGACATCTCCTGGTACGGTCTTTCTTGAAACAGGACGCTCAGATCAGCTGCATTCGACGGCGGGTATCTTGCGGATCAAGTTGACCATCTAAGCCGGCAATCTGTAATGCAACCGTTGCACTAGAGGGAAACACCAGAAATTTTCGCCTCCTTTCATCCTCACTAGGCCTACTCTGCTGGGGTGATGCCTCGGTGAACTTCACTGGACTTCGCGCATAGAGTTTTGTATCGGTGATAGATTATTCAATACAATAGGCTCCATCACTGGTAATCTGAAGAGGTTGAAATAATCTCCTTTGATAAAGAACTCCTGAAAAGCTGGAGTTTAATTTTGTCGGAACCAGTGATAGCGAAAGGAATTTTGCTGCAGCATTTCTTTTTCACCTTCTACACTCTGCTGGCCCAGAAATTTTTGTGTGTCCAATCTGCCTCTAACAAGCATGCAAGAAGTTATAAATCGAAAACTTCTACATTCCCAAAAACTTCCCAAAAGAGATAAGAAAAATCTCACTCCAAGAACTCAATCACTCCAAGAACAAAACCATATAAAAATTTATAAATTTTTCCAAGAATAATTCAACCTCTAAAATTTTCTCGCCAAAAAAAACATGCCAAGACAACTAACCCTTTTCACGGGAAGATTCACCCCTCCAGAAATGGGTGGCAGTAAACATTCATCATCTGTCAAAACTCAGCTCTGGAAACTTAAAAACTGCACTTCTAAGTGAACATTTTGAAGTCAGGAAATCTGCGCTATTTCTACTAAAAATATACATTTAATTACGAATAACTTCTCAAGCAATTAAGTTAAGCAAAAACCTATAATTCCACCAGAAAGGCACAAATTTTCAATACAAAAGCATATAAATTTTCCATTAGTTAAATTCATAATTTCTATTTTTAAATTGAAATAATACTCAAGAAATGCTTGAAATTAAAGTCTGTTTAACACAGAATCAAAACCAAGAGACCTATTTTGTGTTATCCAATTAACACACCAAAAAATGTGTCACAAACAAACATTTTAAATAAATTAAAGTTACATAACTTTAAGGGTCAAAACAAACTTTATGAAACCAAATGAAACTTTAAGTCCCTAAACTCAAATTAAAATTAAACAACTTCACTTTAACAAAACTTTTAAAGCTTCCAACGTAAATTTAAAGTTTACCAAAAGTTTACAACTTAAAACTTACAGCTAACTTTAAACAACTAAAGCAAAAAATAACAACTTCAATTACTGATCAAACAGAAATAAGTAAGCAATCAACTTAAAGCTTGAAATTAATAGACAATTAATACATAACAGCGTAATCGCAGAGACTATACATAGAATGAAGAGATTTAGTTATAAACCAACAGTAGGAAACTGCATTTTGATATAATATTTTAGGAATTGAAAATTTTTTTATCAAACTGTATCATTCCATTTTGAAGATGCCATTGATTATAAGACATGCATCTTTATTTCAGTACTTTCAATGGTTTAAAAAAAATCCTTTGATTTAAATGAAGTAAAATATTAAACTACATATGACAAATGTTTTTTTAAATAAAATTCAGTTTATTAGTAACATCAGTATTCTTATTGAATATTATAATATTAATTACTACTAATTTCTTATTAATATTCTGAAGTGCATTCATTTTAAGATCATATCATTTTTAGTGAAACTTGCATTCAGAAAAAGATGATCTTACTTCAACAATGACGTTTTGTAGTAGAAGGAACCTGAATGTGTAGGAGCCTCTTTATGTATACTCTACCACATTTGTACCAGAACTTACAGCAAGCTATTATTATGAGAACCCTAACACTGGTTAAGAAGAAATTAACAATGGTGCATCCATAGGACTGTTAAAAGGAATAAATGTATTAATAATAGTTTAACTATTTAAATAAGTATGGATAAATGTTCTGTTATGTTCAATTATTTATTATTTAATTTTCTCTAAAAATCTAATGAAAAGTGTGGTGGAATTCTCATCCATTTATCCATATCGTATTTTAGAAAAGAGAGGCTAGCCAAGTTGAAGGCCTCTGTGGCAAAGGGGAGCATTTGCAGTCTATGGCAAATGCAGTCATAATGCCAGAGAATTTTTTGAAAATCTTTAAAATGTATTTTTTTTAACATATTTACTTACATGTGTATTTTTATAGCAAACCAGATTGTTTGATTACTTCTTTGAACTATACAAATCCTGTATGGGAGATGCTGCTTACACTATTCCATATATTTATGAAGTTTGGATACCAGAGGTAAAAAGCTTCTTCTTCTTTTTTTTTTTTTTTTTTTTTTTTTTAACATTTTAATGTAACACTTGTCAAAGTATGTATTCTATAGTTTAGGAACTGATTATGTATTTATATGTCATTTTAGTTAAAATTTATGGTCCTTCTGTAATTTTTCAATTTGTTTTCATACTTATGGCCAGAATTTAAGAATGAATCTTTTTGTAAAAATTACTTCTTTCATAATTGGACAAAGCTGCTTTGATGGCCAAAAATCTTCACAGATAATTTTCTTTGAAAGATTAAAACTAAAGTCTAGATTTTTTATTATTCCTTGAATATAACTGAAATACCAATTATATTAATATAATAATATTATATAACAGAAATACCAGTTATGTTATTTCATATAGAAAAAAATACCTGAGACCTCTAAAATGTCCACTGAATAATTGTGGTGTAGGGTAGTATGAAATGTTGTTGCATTACAATTTCATCAAGATTTGCTTAACACTTTCACTGTGGGACGTGGTGTCAATGGTAAAGAGGCAACCATGCGCCAGCACGGGGTGTGGAGCGATGTCCTATTAGCCACATGCTTGCGAGTGGAGAGCAGTGCCTTAATATTTAGTCTCCGCTTTAATCAGCATTATATGTTAGGTGTGTCTACTGGTATTGGCATAGAGTAAAGGTTAGAAACTAGTTGTAAAGGTATGTGGTTTCGAATTTATGGCTTTATTAGTTATTAAAATATGAGCTGTAGAGATGATATTTTTGTAGGGCCTTCATGCCCCAAAAATGAGAAAAATGCAACATAATTTGCCTCTAACAGATGATGAAGTAGCAAATTTGTGGGCTGAGCTTTCGGAAGAGTACCCAAGTGATATTAGTTATGACAGTGATGAAGATTTCATTCTTCCCCAAGGTGTCCATTATATTTCAGATTCTGAGGAGGAAGATGAAGAGTTGCCAAGATGTAGAAGAGGCAACATGTCATAAGCATGATTCAGCTATGGTAGGAAGTATAATTTGGGAAAATGGCTCCTTAAAAATGAAACAATTTCATTTCACAAAATCAGACTATTTGTTGGCAATCTGTTTCAGGTGACAATCGGATTGATTAATTTTGTCATTTATTTATCGATAAAATCTTGTATGAAGTAATTGCTCAAACCAATGACTATGCTTATAAATTAACTTTGTTGCCATGAGGAAAAGAAACATTCTAGAATTAATGCTTGGAAAGAAACCACAAAAGATGAATTGTTGGTATTCGTAGGATTAATTTTACATATGTGAACTATAAAAATAAATCACATTCAAGATAACTGGAAAACAGATAAACTTTTTGGCTTGAATGTATTCTCATTTATTGAGGGCATTGTGCTTCACTACAATTCCAGAGCAAAATGCAGAACCCCCAAAAGATCGACTATATAAAATTTGAAGTACGGTGAATTTGTTCAATATGCAATTGGCTGGAAATATACTACCCAGGACAAGAGCTTGGTTTAAAGGAGTTGATGATATTGTGGCATAGATGGCTCATTTTTAAACAGTATATTCCAAACAAATGCCACAAATATGGTATTAAGTTATACATGATCATAACACCTAATGGTATGGTTATCAAATTTATGGTGTATACCTGCCTGATAGTTGATTGTGGAGGGAAAGGACAATCGCAACATTTAGTGTTTAATTTATTGGAAGGAATGTTAGATGCTGGACGTAGTGTATTTATGGACAATTATTATAATAGCCATGAGCTGGAAAACTGTCTTGCCGATAGAAAAACTCATTGTACTGGGACAATTCGAAAGAACAGGAAGACGTTTCCAAAAGAAGTTAGCGAGAAAAAGCTAAAGAAAGAGGAAACTATAGTGAAATATGCTAATGGTGTTATGATTGGCAAATGGAAAGCTAAAAGAGACGTAACTTACATTTCTAATGAATACAAGAATTATATTGTAGAAAAACAACAAACAAAAGAGGTGAAATGAAATCAAAACCACTTCCTGTCATTCGATATAATAAATTTATGGCAGGTATTGATAAGCAATACCAAATGCTTGCCTATTTATTATCCATGTGAAAGAGATGGCCTTCTTTAGATGGCCTACCAAAATATTTGTGCATATTTTGCAATTAATGATTTCAAATTCTAACTTTCTCTACAACAAATATTCCCCTGGAAACATGTCAGTTTATGACTTTCGTTTACCCGGTGATAAGGTGTTTATTGAAAACTCAACCTGTCCTTCGTGCTCCTGTGTGTGATTCAACTGAATCAGAACATGTGCTCAAACCATGGAAAGAAAAGAAAGGTGAAAAGATTGTGCAAATATTGCTATTCCCAAAGAAAACATAAAGACACCATTTATATCTGCAAAATTTGCGATGGATCTCGCAATTATTACTTAGATTGTGCAAAAGTGACCCACAAATAAAATGTTTAACAATATTTTTTGAAATTATAATATCATTGTAACCAGCTTATAATAAGTCATTTATATTAAATATATGTTAGTGATAAAGTGTCATACAAAAATAATTAATTTTATACTTTATTTTCATTATTCTTTTTCAATTTTACATTTCACATGCCAGTGCGTAATGTGGCATTTTAGGAAGAAATTTTACCTCTAGTGCCTATCCCGTGATTGTGCGTAGTCAAGATATTCTATTGGGAAAGGCCTAAATATTATTTAGTAATTAGTATGATACACATAATCACATTTTATTACTATTTTTCAATCATTCTTGTTATAAAAATTAAATGCCCTTCTGGGAAAACCCCATTTCTGCATTGGGGCAATAACTATCAATACACTGGCATGTGACCAGCTGTCAATGTGTTAAGTAAGTGAGCCAGGTGGTAAAGAAGACTGGATTGCTTGTTTGAAATGAATAACTTAATGTAGATAATTAAAAACAAGTAGAGTAGAAAGTTAAACAAAATTTCTCCTTACTGTGTGGAAGACACTAAGGAACAGATACTAGCAGTGCTACTGCAAAATCCTAGCTTGATATAATATTTACTCTCACTTCCCCATGAGTGAATCATTCACTTTGAAATAGAGCTTCTTTGTTTACTTGATAGAACCCTATCAAATCAGGTATGTGTAGTGAATTCACCTGTAAATACTATAAAGCTGTATATATTAAGTTTATTTAAAAGGTTCAGCTGTCATTCATGATACCAATTCTAGCGATGTTGAAATTTATATACAGTTTGAAGATTGCTGTAAAGTGAATAAATGAAAGATATTTTTATATAAAAATGTTAATGGTAGACTTTATTTATTTAATAAAGAAATCGAAGGTTAGACTTTGCATTTGGTTCAAAGCTTTATTTTCTAATTTTTTTATAAATGTTTTGTAAAATCTTACCCGTTTTCTGTTTGATAATTCAGTAGGAATGTCTCCTCCCTCCAGTTTCTTAATTGAACATCTGTGAATTGAATTGCTGAATTTCCTTTTCATCACCAGTAGCAGAGCTGCTACCGCTGTCTTCATCATCATCTCAAAAAATCAGTGTTAGCATTAATCATACATTATCATTAGCTTTGTGAAATATCTTTCCTCTCTTCACAAATACGTTTACAGTTTTTTATGTTAATGATTACATCATGTTCAACTGATTGAATCATGTTCAAAGAATAATACGGATATATTATCTTTTGCTAAAAATGTAAGTGAAGTATGAGCTATACAGTTGACTACAATCAGGTCAATTTTTGCGTCATCAGGTAAACTAACTGATTTCAAATGATGCAGAGCTTCAGTATGAAATGAATTGCAAGCCAATTATTCATTAATGCTTGTGTCATCCATGCTCTTTTATTTATGCAATATATAATGAAGAAAAAGCTCCTTTAAATACTCGAGGTCCTGTATTTTTTTCTATTTTTTCCCCGATTACGAAAATTTTACACTTGTTTGTTTTTGCAGCATTTGCACATGTTGAAATTGTTAGTCTCATGTTGGAATTTTTGACACCAGTTGGAACCTTTTCTGCAGAGGTTTTCAAGGTGTTCTTTTGTACATATTGCCTAAAAAAGAAAATCTGCAAATAGTTCAGTGGCTTCAATATCAGCTGGAGCTTTTTCATCTGAAATTTTTAATTACCTTATACCATGTCAATTTTTAAATTTAGTTAACTAACTTGTATAATATGTGCATTCAGTTTTAGTTCATTTCTTCAGGAAATATTTTGGCTTGAGCCATTACTAGCATTGAACTTGTCGGTAGCATGCTCTATCCATGATGCTGCCTGACCCATCATCTCATTCAACCCAGTGACTCATTCATCAGTTTGTTATGATCGTTACTTTTAGCATAATAAATAATTTTTCTGTTATTCATTGTGAGGAAAATGTCAAAATCCACAAAAAATTCAAAAATTTCCTTTTTCTGTTTTCATATGTTATGTGCAGTTGATTTTGCAGTGCATACTCTTCACATAATTTTGAGACAGATATACCTTTATCTATTTTTTGCAACAATTCCACTTTTTGTTTAATAGACATCAAAACATGCTTTTGCTTTGTAGGTTCTGTTGCAGCTCCAGAAATAGAAACTTTTTTCATTATAATTGAAAATTCTGACTTTAATTTTCATAAAATTGCTGTAATAATAGCCACCTACAAAAAATAATAAGCTGGATCAAATCAGTAAAGTATGATTTTAGCATAGCTTAAAAACGTCAGCCATATATTATTGGTTATGTATCAGGAGATTGGCAATGAAAGATAGTTGTTCTGCTACATTTTGTCTTGCTTCTATCTTGCACTGAGGCAATTAAACCTGAATTCTGAGAGGAGGTTTAACTGAATTTATCCTTAGCAATACATGAAAACAAGTTTGGAGATCTGGGCGTACATAAATTAATGGTTGAACATGTTTAGATGTTAGAATTGGTTTGAGTGAATGCATGACTGATCAAGGTTGAGAAAGACAGAATTCAGAAGGTGGTATGGAATTAATAACATTTAGCATATCTGAGGGTAATCTTAAGTGTGGTA